GTTCCTTCCTACTTATCCTCTCAACCATGTTCTAACCTCCCAATAGAACCAGACTAATCCTAAGACCAAACTTAATCACAGTATTGGCTTACTTAGGATATTCGTTGATTCCTCATTGATTCTAGTATCAAGTAATAACAATTTCCTAAATGACTGGTTCTTGCCTCCTCGCTAGTAACATCTCAGATGGCTTTTCTCTTTGTTCATCAAAGTCTATCGAAACTAACTTTATTTCAGGTCCACAAATAGCTAACTGCTTTCCCCCTTAAAGCTGTCACATGTAACTGTAAACATTACCACAAGAACAGCAGATAATCTATCAAATTTTCCCGTGTGACTCCTACTGTGACTCCCACTGTGCCAAGCGCTTTATGCATGTTATGTTTAATAAGAAACCCTATGAGGTAGTTATTTTTACCCTTTTTATTCTGAGAAAGTAAATATTTAGAGATCTTAATTAATTTCCCTGAAGGGAGATAAGTGGCAAAAGTAGGAAATATGTTTTATTGTATATACAGTAATGTTCTTTGAAAAATTATTTATTTATTTTTGCATTATAATTCTTAATACACCATTATACCATAATTTATCAAATCTCTTATTATATATAAGGTATGTTGACACCAAATTCACATCTTCATACATGTATTTTGTATAATGATGAGGAAGCAATGTTCTTTCTCTTCTCCCCCCGCTAACTCCCACCATTTATACTATTCTTTATGGTTACAACTCAGTTGTTTTCTCAAAATGGCCTTCTCTCATCTTCTGATCTAAATTTGGCATCCTTGCCATAGTCCCCTTAAACTTCACCTTTATAGAATGTTTATAATTATGTATTTCTTTAGGTGATTATTTAATGTCTGTAAAATTTCCAATTAACTCTAAGTTTCACAAAGACAGAGATCACAGGTTCAAAATATGCCTAATTCAATTAGTAAATATTTGCTGAATTAATGATTGAGAAGAGTCATTAAACCTTTCAATAATGAATTTTTGAATCACTGTATGGAATAGTTTATTTGAGCCTTAGAATTTCTATTAAAATATTCTTATCTATATTAAACAAAAAACAGATCCCTTATACAGGCAATCTATTCATCCTAATTCTGATCTCTTGACCAATACTGAAAAAGTACATTCTTCCTTTTCCTTAAAGTTCTTCAAGTACTTTTATCCTAGACAACTTAGACAGAAAGAAGTGTTAGTGATGGTGAGAAAACTAGATTACTTGTAAAAAGTGGGACGCTAGAATGAGGGCAATGGAAGGCGTTTTTTGAAATTACAGACATATTTAGGGGACATTACAATTCTTTACAGAAAATGACTGTGATATGCATACAGACATAAAATATAGATGACATTGCTGTGTTTGGAATGCTCTATCACAAGTTTGGTTCTAATTAGTGTATATCTAGAAAGAAACAAATAAAACTGGAGGGTGTCCAGTTAAGGCAATTTACATGACTGTAAAAAAAGATTTAAAAAAGTAAATATTAGTTTAAGTTGGGATATCCCAAAATTAAAAGACTGATGTCATGAAGTACAACTGTATCTTCTCATCTCTCTCAAGTATTCTTGGCAAAAAAAACTCTGGACTAGATGAAATGTGTTTATAAGATATGAATTAGACTAAATAAAGCTTGGAATTACTGAGACCCAAATATTCTTCAGACATTATATATTTTTGAATTAACTCAATGTAGGCAGTAATTGAAAAAAATTATCTCACAATCCTGACGAGAAAGAATCTCAGAGCTGGGAATGTCTTTTGCTCAATAATTTTTGATATACTAGTTTGCATACATTTGCATACATGTAAAGTATATCTCCACATCTATGCCAAATTGTTGTCAACTAATATTAAAATATCACAGCATAATATAATGTGGAAATTTGGATTTTGAGTTTGGTTTAGTTTAAATCTCAGTTCATCAATATTTATTAGTTATGTAATTTTAAACTGGTTTCTCCCTGTGCTATAGTTTCCTCATTTTAAAAATTGGAATAACAAAATATATGTTTTAAAACTGAGAATTAAACAAAATACCTAACATGAAACATCACTTAGCATTAGCTGATGATTGACACATAGCAAATCATCAATAATGTTATTTGCCTTCCAGTGACAAAACCCTATTATCTGCTAAGACAGCCCACCTCCTCTTTGGACAGCATTGGCAATGATTTCCTATACTGTGTGGAACCAGTCCAGCAGGTAAAAGTAAATAATACTTAAAGATCTAATATATAAAATGCTATTTTAAGAAAAGATGCTCTTCATTAGAATTTTAAATTTGATACACTAGTTTGCATACATTTCCTTATCAATTTGGCACTCAGAAATGCCAGAATTTAAGTTCTTTGATTGACCTCAGAGAAATATAAGGTATAATCTTATTTGATGAGAAATTCTGAATAATATAACTGGTATGAACCCTCCACTGGAATGTCTTTGGTTTTTTTGGCAGTACTAGGGATTGAACCCAGAGCCTTTTACAGGCTAAGCAACACTCTACCACTGAGCCTTTAACATATCTTAGCAAAAAGAACAAAAAATTACCCTTCTAATCACTCAGGTAATAGAGTAGCAGTGATCTTCTAAGACAATGCTATGCTTATTTTCATTAATAATGGCTAGAAAATTTTGTTTTTTACTATAAGACCAGAGTTTATGATTGTTTAATTACTTGAACTTACAAAACAATTTTACAGAACATTTTACTTCTGATATAAGTTGTAAGGTAAGCTGCAGGGAATTTGATTACTAAGTTATCAAATCATACCACTTTCTTTGTGACAATTAACTTAGTACACTGTAAATAAATTCACTTATGTTAATTTATCATTTAATATATATTATGTGGGTTCATATGTTAAGAAAATATTTTAGCTAGCTTACCTCATTGTAGAAAAAAAATTAGTTCTAACAAACCTGAATCAAATATAATTTGAAGGCTTATATTGCATAGCAATGGGAAGTTAATAATACAAACTATTTGAGAAAAGTAATTGTACTTTCTAGTTCACTGCCTCTTGGTTTACCCCACACATTCAAATTAAAAAAAAATCTTCAAACTAATACTTATTATTTAATAAATATTTTAATAATAAAAAAGAACAAAGTAGTTGGGGCCTAATCCCACATGATGGAGATCAGGGCCTACTTTTTCTTCTATTAGACACAGGGTCTCTGGTTGTATTCCTAAGTCCCTGATCCATTTTGAATTTAGTTTTGTGAATGGTGAGAGATAGGGGTTTAATTTCATTTTGTTGCATATGGATTTCCAGTTTTCCCAGAACCATTTGTTGAAGAGGCTATCTTTTCTCTAATGCATGTTTTTGGCACCTTTGTCTAATATAAGATAATTGTAATTTTGTGAGTTAGTGTCTGTGTCCTGTATTCTGTATCCTGGTCTACCAGTCGGTTTTGGTGCCAATACCATGCTGTTTTTGTTATTATTGCTCTGTAGTATAGTTTAAGGTCTGGTATTGTGATGCCACCTGCTTCACTCTTCCTACTAAGGATTGCTTTAGCTATTCTGGGTCTCTTATTTTTCCTTAATAGGACTCCTATAGTGCAAGAATTAAAACCAAGAATCAATAAATGGCATGGACTCAAACTAAAAAGTTTCTTCTCAGCAAAAGAAATAATCTGTGAGGCAAATAGAGAGCCTACATCTTGGGAGCAAATTTTTACCCCCCCCTACATCAGATACAGCACTAATCTCTAGGGTATACAAAGAACTCAAAAAGCTAAACACCAAAAAAACTAATAACCGAATCAATAAATGGGCCAAGGCATGAACAGACACTTCTCAGAAGAGGATATTCAATCAATCAACAAATATATGAAAAAATGTTCATCACCTCTAGCAATTAGAGCAATGCAAATCAAAACTACTCGAAGATACCATCTCACCCCAGTCAGAATGGCAGCTATTATGAAGACAAACAAGTGTTGGTGAGGATGTGGGGGAAAAGGCACACTCATACATTGCTGGTGGGACTGCAAATTGGTGTACCCAATATGGAAAGCAGTATGGAGATTCCTTGGAAATCTGGGAATGGAATCACCATTTGACTCAGCTATCCCTCTCCTCAGACTATACCCAAAGGACTTAAAATCTGCATACTACAGGGACACAGCCACATCAATGTTTATATCAGCACAATTCACAATAGCTAAACTGTGGAGCCAACCTAGATGCCCTTCAGTGGATGAATGGATAAAAAAATGTAATGGAATTTTACTCAGCAATAAAAGAGAATAAAATCATAGCATTTAGCAGGTAAATGGATGGCGCTGGAGAAGATAATGCTAAGTGAAATTAGCCAATCTCAGAAAAACAAATACCAAATGTTTTTCTCTGATATAAGGAGGCTGACTCATAGTGGGGTAGGGAGGGAGAGCATGGGAGGAATAGATGAATTCTAGATAGGGAAGAGGGGTAGGAGGGTCAGGGAAGGGGCAGGGGATTAGTAAGGATGGTGGAATGTGATAGACATCATTATCCAAAGTACATGTATGAAGACATGAATTGATGTGAACACACTTTATATACAAATAGAGGTAAGAAAAATTGTTATGTGTAATAAGAATTGTGAAGCATTCCGCTGTCATGTATTAAAAAATAAGTCCAATAAAAATTTTTTAAAGTAATAAAGGTAAAAAATGAAATCACTGCAAACAACAAAAAAAGAACAAAGTAAAATTTAGAATGAAGTTATCAGAACTAAAATTGAATATCAAATATAAGAAACAGAGTTAAGATCATAAATCTAATTTTAGATAAAAATATTGTTGTTTTAATTCATTTCTCTTTTGTATAATAGGCTTTATTTGTCAATAGAAACATTAAAAATGAATTGAAAATTTTAGTAGATGTTACTCTGATTCTTGCTAACATAATTGTGGTTAACTGATTATGCTTAGCATGATTCCTAAAAATGATTACAGATGATAAAAATAATGAAAGTAAGCACATAAAACAGCTTACCATTTCACCAATTTTTCCAATATCTCCTTGATCTCCTGTTTCTCCCTGATAATAAGAATATAAATTTATAAAATGTATTATTTTTCAACAAAATTAGTCATGACTGCTCTTCTGTTTTCATTTTTATGTAATTATCAAAACATACCCTTAAAAAAGGCAAAGGAAATCTGAGTTATTCAAAACTCTGTTACAATATTTCCATGGAATGTAGTTTTACTTCCATTTCCAAACAGTAATAAACTATTAATAAATATTCATTCAAACAGTAATAAAATATTATCTTAAACTACTTTCTTCTATTCATTACTTTTATTCACTTTAAAAACACTTTACAAACAAAATTTTTTTAAGTAAAATATTTATTTTATTTGTACTCTGTCAAAGGTAGTATGGCAGGCACTGTGAACAATGATATAAGAATAAAATTAAATTCTTGCCCATAGGGTTGCTCTATTTGCTCAAGTAGAAGAGGAAAATTACCACAGATAATTATAGAAGGATTATGTAGAGGCAAGCATCCTGTGAGTTTAAGTTGCAAAAGCTGGGAGCACTGGACAAGTATTATATATTCCACAATTTTGCCATCTATAGATCTCTTAAAACCCAAAGTTTTCCAAAACTCATTTGGTGCCAATCTTGACCTATTTGGATAATCTCGAGATCATTTATAGTCTTGATTTATTCCAATGAATCTGAATTCCCTTACACTTCATTGCAGAAATATTAATCTGATTATGTTACAGTGTCTTACTGCTTGCAGGCAATGTTTGTTAAAACAAAATGTGCACCATATTACTTTTCCAAAATCCAACAATTAGTGACTTCAAATAATGAATTATGATACTGTATCAGGGCCCTATCAAATAGGGAATACTTAAGTGCTGATAAGAAATGGTCATTTTTAGTGGTGAAAAATGGCATGAGCAAAGGTATAAGTAAATGAAAGGTAGAGGATTAAGTTTAGGGTACCACAAATAGTGAATCTGAAAGAAATGTAGTTTATCACAGAAATGGGATACTAAACATCAATTTCTGTCTAAAAATTATAAGTTATAGTGTAGAGCGGTAAGATGCTAAGATACTGAACACTATAACCCCAGAAGATGTGTGGGTTGTGAATATTTATTTGAAATGGGTTGGTCTGATTGAAATGTATCATAAGTGTAAAATACACATTAGATTGTAAAACCTTTATACCAACAAAGAATACAAAATTATCTCATTGCTAATATTAACAGTGATTACATATTAAAAGGATAATATTTTGTATCTTGGGTTAAATAAAATATATTATTAAAATTAATTTCACCTGCTTGTTTTACTTGATAATGTGGGTCACATCTGTGGTTCACATAATATTTCTATTGAAGAATATTGATTTAATTGACTGAAATATTTATCATGAATAAATTACTTTGAGATAAACTTTCAAAGTCTACACAAACTTTCCCTCCAATTTTTGTGTGCAGTTAGGTAAATAGAAAAGAATGAAGCATTTGAGTAAGTTTGAGTAAGTTCTAGTATCTAGCGCTTGACAGAAAGATCATTAGACACCCTGTGTCTACTTTATGGCAGAATAACATATAGATTATTAATTTTTTTAGTATTTTTTTCTTCCTCATCCAGAAGTTGCCCCCCTCAAAATGAACCCTTTGTGTTAGTGATTCTCAGAGGAGGTTTATGTTAATAGGCAGAAAGAAGTTATGTGCAGAACAGATAACGTTCATTATTGCTTTAGTTTTCAGAAAGTAAAGAGAGGGAGAGGGAGGGAGAAAAGGATGAGAGAGAAAGAGAGAGAGAGAGAGAGAGAGAGAGAGAGAGAGAGAGAGAGAGAGATGTTGATTGATTGATTGATTTGATTTCCCTAGGACCAGGAAGAAAACAGAGATCTTAGGTTTCTGTGAAAGTTGGTGACCCTTAAACAACTCTCAAGTGGTTCCTCAGGGAGTTCCCAGTAAATAGTTACATGATGCACTGAATCACAACTTCTAGTGACAGATGGGGAATAACAAACATTACAGATTTTTTTCCCATTTCCTGCATAATACAAAAGTAGCCTAGATTCTGATGTCATTCTAGGGAGGAATGTGACATCATTAATGAATAAGATTCACTTTCTTGCCAGTTTGACTGATGGCAGCTCCCAGTTGGATTCCCTGTGAGCTGTCATTTAACCACAAATCTTATCCTAACATTCTTAATTAATTACATATCTATACAATATGAATATAAATATATATATTCTCAATTGCCCTTTGAACTATTCTTAACATCTTACTGGTTCCCTGTAAGTTGACCTGTACTCATTTCATATTTGTATGAAAGTCAGACTTTTACCTTTTTGAAAATTTTAAAACTGATAATAAAATCAGATCCTTTACCTTTAAGCCTTCTGGTCCTGGTTCACCCACATATCCCTTTCGACCTGGTTTTCCCTATAAGAGAACCGAATGAAAGAAAAAAAAAAGAGCTATGTTTAGTTATTCTCATTTCTGAAAGTTTTCTAAGGGCTACAAAATATAAACTACTATAAAATGAAATACTTCAAAGCTTATATTTTAGTAAAGATGACATAATTTTTTAAAAAGTCAGTTTTTAAAAATTATGTCATATACACTTATAAAATTATATGTAATTTTAAATAACATAACAAATATATGCATATATATAGCAAGTTAGGATGATAGGTGGTGGTAAATAAAATGAAGGACAATAAATCAAGCAAGGAAGGAAATATAGACTGTTGTGGGAGTTTTATTGAAATTTTTGATATTTCCAGGGAAGAACACTAATTTACAACACTAATTTTCAGTCTCACTGAAAATGTGGCACCTAAGTGAAGTCTTAAAGAAAGGGACAAGTTATGTGGATATCTGAAGGAAGAACACACAGGTAGAAAAAAAAGCATATACAAAAGTATGTTGGCAGGAGCCGGGGTTGTGGCTCAGTGGTAGAGCACTTGCCAAGCATGCATGAGGCACTGGGTTAGATCCTGACACCACATTAAAAATAAACAAAATAAAGGTATTGTGTCCATATACAACCAAAAAAATATTTTTAAAAAAGTATGTTGGCAACAACAAGCATATCTAACTAAAATGTCCAAAATTCACCTCTTAATTTAACCCTCAAACCTATTCTTGCATGTCTTCCTCATTTTTTTTGTTCAGTTATTCAGTACTAAATACAACACTAATTTACAGTATTGACTAGGTATGATTTTATTATTGCTGTTCATTAAAAAAAACCTCACATTTTTTTCCTTCTAAAATGAAGTTAAATGAAATAACCCTCTGGCTCTCATTCTGTTTTGACTACAAAATTTAGCAATTTAAAGTTACATTCAGAACTTCCAGGTAAGAAGTTGTTTTAATTTTTACTTTTGCTTTGCTTAAAATTACTAATGGTTTCCAATCAAGCACAAAGAACTTAAAATCATTTTATTATTGTTAAATGTCAATTTTTAATTAATTTGAAGATATACAGGATAAGAAATCTAATTGAGTCCAAATTATTAAATGTCTTCCATAATCTTTACAATAACATTTTAGTAATTCATTTGATTTACATTGGTTGGAAAGAATTTAAGTGAAAATATTCCTTTCACGTTTAATAATGTAATCTCACTCATCATGAAGCATATTAAAAAAAAAGTTATACAGTGAATCCACATTATTGAAAGAATCTCCTAGAATCTGATATCAGTGCATTTATAATCTCTTTGAGATCAGCCATGCAGGGCATCTGTGATGGAATCGTAACTTCTGGTTCTATTTAAATTCTGTCACACTAAATTTATTTTGAGAGTGTTATACTTGAGTATGCAACACTGAAACCTTATTTTCACATTTAAAAAAGAGATCCATATCTTGCAGAGTTGTTTCAAGATTAGGGTTGATTCATGTGACATACTTAGAGAAATAATGGTCCCCAAACAGACCTTCAACCAAGAGTAACAAGAATAATAAGTATTAAGACTAAGTAGACAAGAGATAAATATGGTTCTCTTGTTTTCTAGGGAAATAAATTTAAAATAAGATCACTTTTACTGGGCTCAAATAACAGTTTTTATGTTATTTTTCTTGCAAAAAATAAAAATAAGTCTTCTTTTCAACTGAATGGTAGTGATATATGTTCTAGTGAGATAAGGGTACAAATAAAATGATTACTCTTTCCTCAAAGGTAAACATTCATAAAAACCCTAAAATTTATTATGTTTTCAAAAAAAGAGAATGTGATGTATTTCATGTGAATCTAATACCTCTTAAAATAAATACATTATCTTAACTACTTAATTTTAATGTAAAATTTGATCAGGCAGGCACTTCAAAAATGTTCAAATTCATCTTCAGAACTTGAAAACAATAGTTCATATAGCAAAATATGGTATTATCCAATGAAAAAGGAGTCAAGAGAGACTTATCATTTGCTTTATATAATTTTACTGATATACTTAGAAAACAGACACTTCCAGAATATTAATAAAATTGATGAAGTATTTTTCTTCCTATTACTTTTTGAGAAACTTGTAAATAATTTGCACAAGTTACTAAAACCACTGAAAAATCAAACAAATATGTAATTAGGCATAGTATAATTCCAAATACTCCTGGAGAATTTCAGTTACTGGTTTACTTTATGGAGGAGATTTTATGACTACAATTTGTTATAAATTTCTGTCCTTTGCTACTAATAAAAATGTTATGTTATTAAAAATATTTTCAAGCCAGGTATAGTGGCACACACCTGTAATCCCAGAGGCTTGGGAGGCTGAGGGAGGAGGACGGCAAGTTCAAAGCCAGCCTCAGCAATTTACAGATGCTCTGAGCAATTTAGAGAGACTCTGTCTCAAAACAAAATACGTAAAAAGGCTAGGAATATGGCTTAGTGGTTAAGCACTTCTGGGTTTAATCCTTAGTACTCCCACCCCACCCCAAATTTACAGAAAGCTGTTTTCAAGAGAAGTACTTATAGATAATTATTTACATGATACCTACTCTAGGCCCCAATTCTCCAAAGGGTCCAACTGGTCCTTCTTCTCCCTTAAAAAAGATCAGAACATATCATGGCCTAAAATAAGCACTTAAAAATGTAATCACTTATTCTCCATATTTATTCTGGGATCTGAAGCTAATTCTGAGATATGATAAAAATAATGCTGTGATTTTCTTTTATCTTAGAATTATCCCATAACATTTGATTTTCTTCTGTAATAACATCTACTTTAAGAGGGACATGTGCTATTGGATTATTTTTAAGTTGATAGATGTGATAAGTCATACACGAAAAATTGGGAGTAGAGAAAAGTGAAAATGATCACAATATCACAAAACCAGCATTAGAAACACTGAGACCATTCATTAAGAATAATCTTTACTTTGCTGGGCGCAGAGAGGAACTCAACTAAATTCTTAACAGACAGAAATCAATACACATTGCTATATTTTAAAATTACTTATACAGAATAGTTTGCTTTAGGTACATTTTGATACTTAATCCACTCAACAAATATGCTTTTGAATCTTAAGGTATAGTGATTCACAGGCATATCAGACCTTATCCCAATGGGGCTTATTGTTTACAGAATTTATTCTTGACTAATTTGTGGTCCAATATTCTTAGGGTAAAATAATGTCATAAAATATAAAATCTGGTGCATTATTATAAGGATCAAAAATTATAGGTAGACATTAATGATGAACGTAAAAAATAAAGAAATTCTAGCTATTGTTTTCTAAAATAATAAAAGTTATGTATTCATACACCATTTACACACATATTTACTCAATATATTCATTTATTCACCTTTTAATAAATAGCTGGTGTTCATAGTTGATATTATATTTTAGCAACATATATAGACCTCCCTGGAATCATTAATCTTATTCATTTGATAAGCATTTCTTATTAATTCACAATTCAATTAAAATATAATTTAATAGGTTACAAATATAAAATAGTAACAAATAATATAAATTCTAATAAATATGAGTGAGATTCTGGGTTCAGATTCTTCAACATTCCACTATAGACCACTGACATGAATCACTTACAGAACACTGTAAAATGATTCCAAATTCCATTCCATAATTTCCAGTACAAAATGGTAACTTGACATCCTTCATGTCAAAAGTTGTCCACACTAAGACAATGATTTCTTTAAGCAAAAACCAAAGTTTCATGAAAAATAAAAAAGGAAAATGAGAACCTAAAAGCTGTTGACTGGATATTCATTCCTCCATACCTGAGTTCCTTTGAGACCAGGAGGCCCAGGAGGCCCTCTATTTCCAAGGAGTCCCTATAAAAGAATATAGCAATGTAAGCAAACAAAATAAACAATAAACCAATTAATATTTTGATCAATCAGCTCTAATCTGGAGATGGGTAGTATTTTTGGGTACCATTCATTTTTCATTAAGAAGTTATTAAAACAAAATTGGAGAGTAGATGAACAGAAAACTACAAGGCATTTGAAAATTGGGCAACACAGAATAAACTTATTTTTAAATAGTATGTTAAGGTCCAAACAATTTGTTGAGTATTTTATTTTAAAACTTCTGCCTTTTTAGACAGAGTTTTTCTAAATTTAAAATAATGAATCCAACTGTTAATCTGACATAATAGAGTATCTACCAAGTCTAAAAAATAGATGGAGAGGATATATATCTGTTCAGAGACCAGCAGGGTCTGGAACTCATTATTCATATTAAATGTTCTTCAACTAATTTCCCTTTGTTATACAACCTGGTAAAAGGAGAAAGGCAATTTGCAGAAGAAAGTTACTCTCTAAATTTTATTAGTAATTTTAAGGCTATGAAATTCTTTCATTAATGAATATACATTAAATTGCTCTCTGAATAAAACCGTGTTCAAAGTGACTATAAAAAAGAACTTCCCAATTTAGAAAACACATCTATTCAACATGGTAACATTTTCTTATTTAGTTATACTCTCTTAACTATGTTTCCTTAAGGAAACACTTCTTTCCTCATGATTAGAAGAGTGTGACTACCCCCTTACTGAAAATAGTGGATATGTGACAGGAATCTAAGTCAATCAGCATATTCTACACTCATAGAAACAGTAATTGGTTCCTGAGCAATCAAGTCACCCCCAAACCAGTCTAGTAAAAGCAAATTTCAAACTTTAGTGAAACTGTTGGGAAGACGGAATAGCATTAAGGATGAGGTAAGGGGGAACAATGGGAAAACCATCAAGAGGAGAGAGACTAAGGATGAAATAAATGAATTAAACAATGAAGAAAGGAGTGATTGGGCTCTCATGATATTGTTAGGGGTCTTAGGTACAGTGACTGAGTTCCTAAATTTTTCACACATTTATTAAGCCTGCTTGAGTTACATTTCCATTAGTTACAATTGAAAGAATCCTTATTGGTATAAGGATTTCAAATTCTTCAATATTCAAAATACTGTTTTTCTAGAATTCAAAGTGAAAGATTTAAAGATTGTCAAAGACTGATTGGAGGTACAGAATGTAAAGGCTTTTATACTTGAATCCTATCACACAATAGCTAACATTTAACCATTCAGTTCAGTTGTTTGTTCATTTTTTCCATCTGACATTTTATTAATTTTTACTATGCCTAAGACTTAATAAACTGAACATTAGGCCTTGAGTATAAATAAGACTCAGTCTCTGTTCTCTCTGTTCTTAATGAATTTAAAATTTACACAGAAGATGGTACTTTAAAATAAAAGTTGTTAAACAGAAATTGTAATAGAAGCAGAGGAATATGCAAAGTATAGAGAATATAGAAGAAGCAGCAAGATCCTTTCTGGGAGGATCAAAAAAATTTTCATATGTGCAAACAATTTTGTATTGAGTTATGATATGTTAATGAAACCATATAAGTAAAAATAAGCATACACTAAAAACTTAGAAATATCATCTTGAGAAGCAAAAAACCCCAATGAATACAGGATTAGATTAGAGAATGTGTATAACAAACTGGATCAGTTCCATATCCATGGTATAACCAGCTGAGTGGTTAAAGAGAAATCTGTCCCTTTGCTCTGTGAATATAGCTATTTACCCTGGGTGGCACCATTGTCCAAGAGCCCTAATCAAACCGTTAGGGAAGAAGGCAAACCTAGGCTGCTTGTCTGTCCTTTTCCAAAACCAAATAATCTTAAATGAATTTAAAAAACTGAATTAAGAAAAAGCATAGAGTTATATTCTATTTATAAGATATATACCTAAAATATAAAAATATAGGAAGATTGGAAGCTCACACACATATCCACAAAAGATATGCAAAGGATTTACTGACTCAAAATAGCTCATTATATTCATATTAGATCCAATAGATTTTAAGGTAAAACAGATTATTAAAGTTAAGTAAGTCACTAAAAATAATAAAAAGCTATATTCTTCACAAAAATAAACTCTCAATTATATTCATGTAATAACATAAAGTCTGAATATTAATAACAGATAAAGAAAATCTATTTTCGGGAAATTTTTAAAAAAATATGTACTGCTTTAGTTGTACACAATACTTTTATTTTATTTATTTATTTTCATGTGGTGCTGAGGATCGAACCCAGGGCCTCGCACATGCTAGGCAAGCACTGTACCACTGAGCCACAACTCCAGCCCCTCAGGAAAATTTTAACATACTTTTCTCAATAATTAATAGATTAAGCAGACAAAATCATAAGAATAAAGAATACTTAAATTAGCAAATACTTAAATTTGTTAAATTAGCAAATTTGATCTGGTAGCCAAGTATAGAGCACAGAAACTCTAAATGCAAGTTTGCACAGTCTTTTGACAAACAATCAACATTTGTGGAACTAACCAAAAAAAAAAAAAAAGGCCATAAAAGTCTATCAACAGTAGTGTCAATTAGATTGTAAATCTATGTAGTGAGTTTATCATGTTAAAAACCTGATTTTTCCAGGTGTGGGGGTGCATGCCTGTAATCTGAGCAGCTTGGGAGACTGAGGCAGGAGGATCACGAGTTCAAAGCCAGCCTCAGCAACTTATCGAGGTCCTAAGCAACTCAGCGAGACCCTGTCTCTAAATAAGATATAAAAAAGGGTTGGGGATGTGGCTCAGTGGTGAAGCATTCCTGGGTTCAATCCCTCATACCAAAACCAAAACTAAAACCAAACCAAACCAAACAAAACCTGATTTAAAAAAATATATAAAATGCCTACAACCATAAATTGAGTTTTACTAGGTATATAACTTTGGTTTTCTTTTCTATAGAATCATGTTACCACTAGCATAATAAAGTTTCTCTAGAAATAAATAAAACAATACATGGAATAAAACAAGGATTCAGTAAGTTTCCTTTCTACTTATACATCATACATTGATTAATGTTTACAACAGTTTCTGAACTGATAATTCACTTATCAGCACCACTCATTCATATTGATAATTTACCATTATTATTTTTCCTAAAACTTCTCCTTCATCATCTCACAGCTCTAAAAATCTTCCATGGAATAAAAGTGTAGAGTTTTTATATGAAATTAAAGTCAAATTACTATCAGTTTAAAATAGATTGCTATAACTGTATTTTATGTAAGTCTTATAGTAACTACAGAGAATATTCCTATAGAAGACTTGCAAAAGAAAATGAAAAAGGAATAAAAACCATGTGTGAAACAAAAAGACAGCAAAACGGATAAAACCCCCATAAATAGGAAAAAAACTAACAAAATGACAAAAGTAAATTCTTTCTATCACAATTATTTTAAATGTGAGTAAATTGAACTCTAATAAATTGACAGAGCAACTGAATAAATTAAAATGCAAGATCCAATTATATGCTGTCAAAAAAGACTTGCTTTAGATTGAGGATACACATAGTGTTCACAAAAGTGAGAGGAGATATAGTAACACAATAACAGTAGATTTCAATTTCAATTCCAGACAGACCAGTAAGGAAATACACAGGAAATGAACTAGACTATAGGCAGCAGTTTCTGCATCTGAAGATTTAACCATAGATCACAAAATATTTCAAAAAAATTTAATGTGCACTGAACATGTTCAGACCTTTTCCCTGTTACTATTCCCTAAACAGTGTAGTATAACAACTATTTACATAACATTTACATTATGTTAGATATTACATGTAATATAGAGATTATATATATATATATATATATATATATATATATATATATATATTTACATAGGTTATATACATCTTTTAAATAATATGTACATGTATATAATATATATATACACACATACATATTTTATATATATAATGTCATTTCATATGAAGGACTTGAGCACCACAGATTTGGGGATGCATAGGGGTTCTGGAACCTATTTCACACAGACAACAGGGGATGACTGTGTAGACCAAATGGACCTAACAGACATACATAGAACATCTGCATCTAAAAGCAGTAGAAAATTCATTATTTTACATAAGGAATATAAGTAACATTCTATAGTATAAATCATGTTAGATCAGAAAACTATTCTTAGCAAATTTAAGACAACTAAAATCATACCAATTATCTTTTTCCAACTACAATGGAATGAAACTCAAAATTAATAGCAGAAGGAAAACTAGCCTATTATCATCACTTCTATTCAACATAGTATTGAAAGTCCTAGATAGAGCAACTAGACAAGAAATAAAAGGCATGTGAATTAGAAAGGGTGAAGTAAAATTATCTCTAGTCATAGAAGACATGATCTTATATGTGGAAAACATCAACAATTCCACAACAAAACTGTTAGAAACAAATGAAATTACCAAAGTTGCCAAATACAAAATCAACATATTAACAACAAACAATTTGTAAAGGAAATCGAAAAACAATTCCATTTATAGTTGCTTCAAAAGTGATAAAAAAAAACATAGGAATAAATTTAACCAATGAAGTGAAAGACTTGTACACTGAAAGCTATAAAGCACTGCTGAATGACATTAAAGATTACACAAATAAAGGGAAAGACATGCTATTAATGGATTGTTAAAATGTCCACACTACTGAACTTGATCAATAGAGTCAGTGATATCACGATCAAACTCCAGGATTGTCTTTTGCAGAAGAAAAAGTAGTCCTAAAATTCACATAGCTCAGCTGGGCTCAGTGGTGCATGCCTGTAATCCCAGTGGCTTGGGAGGCTGAGGTAGGAGGATTGTGAGTTCAAAGCCAGCCTCAGCAAAAGCAAGGTGCTAAGCAACTCATTAAGATCCCCAGCTCTAAATAAAATACAAAATAGGACTGGGGATGTGGCTCAGTGGTTGAGTGTTCCTGAGTTCAATCCCTGGTATCCATTAAAAAAAAATCATATAGC